CACAGCACTGGGACCGACTGAGACTGGCCTCACCCTGCCTCCGTCAGGGGCTGCCAGCTTGCAGGATCAGTTCAGAGCCGGCTGTCGGGTTTGCCAAGAGGCTGTGTAAACAGTAATTAGCATCTCCCACAGAAGCTTAGCTTACAGTGAATGGAAGACGGCCAAATCCCACGCCATCTCCTGCAAACCATCCCTTCCACATCCTTGGTGCTCCTCCAGCCAGTGACAGCTACTGAATGGTCCTCCCATTACTCCAAGCTCAGAGATGATCTGACATCTAGATATGATGTTTTTTTGTCAGTTTTTGACAAGTCCCTTGAGACATCCAGTCACCCACAGGCACAGCCATGGAGACACGGGCCTCTTTAAATTCCATGCTGGCAGATCAGGAAAGAAATGCCATCAGATTAGATCATTTTAGTGTGCTGCCAAACTTTTATTAAATTGAAAAGCTTAAATCTGAATGAATGAACAAGCATCTTCAGATACCAAAATGGACTGCATAGGGGCATCTGAGACTTTCCGTGTTCTACAGAAGGTTCATTTTTAACAAGTGAGATTGCCTGATGTACTTTCCTTCAGCCAGTTTGCTCTCATTTTTAAAAAGCCTCTTGAGAATTTTGCTCATGTAGTAAAACGGGGAAGGATTAATACTAAAGGAGTGCCAGATACATGAGTCCAAGACATAAATGAAGCTTTTGTTAGTTGTAGGAATATAGCGATTTATACTTCTAAAGACTGTTTTCTTGTGCTATAAACTTAACTAGATACTTGAACATGGTCTTCACAGCCTTATCTGTGTTGTTGTAATGTCTCACTTCTATGGGATTTTGTACCCCATCACTTCTAGCAGCATGGGAATGGTTTGCCATTAAGAGTGCTAAAATGACAGTGATCTGTATTCATGTCTTCTGAATTAGCTGTCACAGGCACTCAGGCAGGCGGAGTAGGAACCACATTAGGAAGTAAAGGAATTCTTCATTTCTACAGTGAGGTTAAAGCCATGATGTCTCTCCTGCATGGCAGAGTTCTTGCCACCCCTCAGGACACAAGTTGCTGAAAATCTGCTGCTCCCAGGATTTCCCATCTGAGGCCATCTCATCCTACCCATAAGTGATTCTCCAGAGAGAAAGCTACTCAGCCAGGCACCACATCACATCTAGGGAATCATGTTATTTGCGGTACTTGTTTTTGGTGAATTAGTTCCAGCAGGGCTCTGCTGAGACCCAGCACTCGACACAGTAACCGGCAGTTGGGCTCTGCTCACACAAATGTGCCAGGAGGATTTTATCAAGGTGTAATTGAAATAATTCATAATTTTCCAATACAGCAGAGTAGGACAAGTACGACTCTGGGCTTGCTCTAGGGCTAGTTATGGAGGGCAACAGACACCTGATTACAGCAAACAACCAAGAGCCTACTGTGCTTTTTTTTCTGTGCTGGGTCTGTCACCTCTGAAGGGATGGGATAGGAGATATGGGAAGGTGACAGCTGTGGGGATTGTCACCTGCTATTCTTTCTCCCTCCCTTTTTCACTCTTGTGACAGACGTGATAAGGCCTTATGGCTCCAGACCTGCCCCTCCTTCTTGGGACAGACACTTTCAATTTTCCTCCACTGCTGGGAAACCCAACACGAGCTCTGGCATGACTAGTTCAACCAGTGAAAATTCTGGATGAGCTGATTTGCTCCAGCTCTACAGCTCTTCTGTGTTAGGGTGTGCAAAATGTCCACTTTTCTTTATTGCCCTTGAAATGGCAACCAGAGCAAAGGTACACATACAGACATGCCTTTGAAGAGTTTGTAGACAAATGCAATCAGTCTTGAGTAACAGAAGTTTTTCCTTTTGACTAAAGCAGGGATGCAACATGACTTGTTTGCCTCTGAGCAGGGTGAGGTGGGAAATGTTGTCCTTTTCAATAAACTCCAGCTGTAGATTTTATAAAATAGACAATAGCTGTGGTCTTCAAGAGACATGTCCTGGGTGCAGCTGCGGGATCCACAGCTGCTCTGTTAAAGTTAAGCATAGGAATGCAGGATCGGTTCAGTGCTGGGTGACCAGGCCTGACAGATGTTCACCACATCTGCTTTTCAGAGCTTCCAGTGGACAAAAGCCCACCACCTCTCTGGCACTGAAGTGAACGTTTCCTCATCCCAGCAGTCACAATCTTTCCTCATATTGATCCAAAACCTCTTTTGCCACAAATTATGGAGATTTCTTCTTGCCCTTAAGCTATGTTGAGAAACCATTAAAAGAGAAATGAAAAGTGCTATAAGGCAGAAGTGAAAGGCATAGATATAAAGAGGAAAACAGTCAGCCAGACAGGAATGTTACAGGGAAAGGTCAAATAGCTATACACAATAAAAAATAGAATGAGTCAATAATGTAATTTTGGTATTGTCTCTCAGTTTTATTAAAATAATTTTAGATTTAAGGCCTGCTCTCACCTGTCTTGCCAATAAATTTTACAGGAGTTCTCTCTATGCCCAAGTTCAAATTGTAAATAGAAAAAGTTATGGAGCAGATCTTTGGATTTCCTTGTTGGATTGGACAGCATGACATACAGACAACTGCTCCTTGCACGTGGTTATACAACTGGTTGTGCACAGCAGTTCCACAGAGACTATTTCACTTTGTTTCACAAACGAAAATCAGAAATCCACTCTCAGGTGGAGAGCTTAAAAAACGTCAGGATAATCTGGCTTGCTTCCTCTTTACCCTCGATGTGAATTATCCCTTCAGAGGAAGAAATGAGATTGGTCTGAGGCAATCAGTTCTTGACAAGATCATGCTGATGTTTTTTTTATCCCCTCATTCTCTTTCAATCCTTATTAATTGTTTTGTTAACAGCCATGGTGCCATGGACATCATGCTGATGTCTGAGTCATTAAAAGAGCATATGACTGTCTGCTTCCTGCTGCTCTCTTTTGATGAAGGGGTCTGGGTCCTCTGGGGCTAAGACAACAGATGCTAGTGAAACACCTGCCAAAAGAGCAGGAGGGGATGGAATGATGCATGTGGTGGCATCCAGCACCAGACAATTAATAAAAACCAAAGCCTGACTCTTTCATCACTTCAACAGAAACCCACAACTTAAATGTAGATCAGAGAGTATCATAACACATTCTTGTGGGGCATCCCAGGCTCACTGCAAGTGTCCTTCCAAACCAGCGACTTCTCTCCAGAAGGATGCTGGTTTGGGCAGTGTCTCTGAGTAAACACAATTTTCAGTACCACAGGCAACACGTGCTCTGAGTCACCCAAGTACAGCATGCTTACCTGCCTCACCAGAAGGGTTGTTGTGCTGTACGTCCTGGTCTGTGGGGAAGGCTCGGCATGCTTGTGGCTCTCACACCGAGGAGGAATGTGAGGAGCAGCCAGGCTGGGGCTGAGCTGCTCTCCTCTGCCTGCTCAGCCCAGGCAGGCAGGCTGTCCTTCAGGTGACTTTCCCTTCCCGCCTGTTGGGGTGCCTGGAGGAGTTGGCAGGGCAGAAGCTATGGAACACATGGAAATGAGGCTTTAGGAGCATGTGTTGCTGCCCAGGTCCTGCCTGCCCCCTCTCTTGGACCAAAGACAGCAGAAACAGTAAATACCAAGTTTGCAGATGCCCCTTGACAAGACCCCTTGGGGTTATGCCAGACTGGAGGGGACTGCTCTCGCACTCAAGTCAGCAAAAGATGTGAGCGATCTGTAACAGTTTTCTTTTTATGCCATGCAACAAAACCCTGTCTTGGTCCTCACAATTTCCCTGCTTTTGTGCTCTTCTTAAACTCGGCGAGCTCCCTGCCATGAGGGGCTTTGTACTCCCGTAGGCTTATAGGTGGAAAATACTCTCTGACACTTGGAGTTGGCTGATCCTGACCTGCCTCAGCCTGGAGTTAAATAGCTGGATTTCAGGCTGCCAACACCTTGGCAAAGTTCTCAGGGGACAAAGAACAGAAACTTTTAAGAACTGAAATCCAGACCTCTCTAAATGACTCAGAGGCAACTACCCTCATGGGCATGGAAAGAACAGGAAGGGGGGCTAGAAAAAATAAAAACAAAACAAACAATAAAGATGTCTCTAGGGGAAGTGTAGAGTTCTGCTACTGCAGGCTTCTGGAGACATGTCTCTGCAGAGTTCCCCATGATTTGCTCCAGATTTATACACCCTCCAATGTAAAGGCAACTGACCCAGTGTCTTTCTGAGAAGAATGCTAAAATGAGGGGAATTTCCAAAAAAAAATTGCTAATGATTGAAACAGTTGTTTTACTAATGGTCACTCCTAATTACTTAGTCATGAGGAAACTAGAGGCCCAATTTATACTCAGAGATTTTTAAAACTGTTGCCCTGGAGGTGTTGCAATACCTTTTCCCTCAAATGCTAACATCGGCATATACATTTTCCTGCATAACTGTAGCAGAATATTCCTAGAAGATGCTGCCTCTATATAATTTTTATAACAATATTTTAAACATATGAACTACTTTCTTCCCAAAACAGTTTGCTGGATTCCGGGCTGAGTTCTTCCCTTACTTATGTCATTAATTGTCCTATTAGCTTTAATGGGTTGGAATGGGAACAGTTCTGTCCCCTGCAAATCAAATTAAACTCTTGTTTTCAGAACATAGACTTGCAAGGACAGAGAAATCCAAGCCTGCAGTACAGCAGTTCTAGTTCTAACTGCCCCAAAGCCCTATCTGAATAAGTATATGTCTTATTAGCATCATAAGGATGTTTACAAATATGTTAATATTTAAGTCATCGATTGCAGGAGGGAACTTTTATTTTTGACAGCGTTTGCTGCAAGGCAGTGGTGAATAAACATGTAAATTCAGTATTTTCAACAAGCATTGTGCTGAAGCTGCTCCTGTAGGCATTCAGATGTGGCTGAAAAGACATGCAATACCATATGACTGGCTAACTAGTCCCATAGCTCAAATATTTGATCTCAGATACGTGAGCAAATAGTTGTGGTGAACAACTCTTGAGCCAGTCACAGGCAGATGTTAACTTGTGGAAAACATTTAGCTAATAGTAAGTATTTCTGGAGAAGTCATGGAGTGTTTACAGGCAATTTCTGGCATGAAGGCACTGTATTCGTCAATTAAAATGTTTAGTCTGAATTGGTTTCCAACTCTAACTGAAAGTAAATGAAGAACTAGCTAATCTGGGTTGTAGTACTTTTCTTTTATAAAGCTCCAAGACATATGCCTCTTCTTGATGTATTGGTAACTATGCATGAGTTTATTCAACTTCATCTTTTCTCAAGGGTGTGGTAAGCATGCTCCTTTTCTTGATCTTCTGTGCTGGCTGACAGCTTCTTGGTGAAGCTTCTCTTAAAACTGAAGAAAGAAGGAAATTAGTAAGAGCAGGAAATTGTAGCATTTCCAAATAACGTTACTATATCACATAGGTCTTCCAAACCACGGTCACTCATAGCTAATCACAAAGTGGGTGTTTAGTTCAAGAAGGAGCATCCTCACCTTGTGCCTTTCCATGGGAGCTTTGTTCTATCAGGAGCCTGGCTGGGGCTCCTCGGCAGGCTGCACCACTCGCTCTGCCAGCAGTAGCTGTCACCCAGCCAGGGAGACCCTACTTCCCCTGGCACGTTTCTCCAGTCTCTGTAGCTGCATCATGTTGGGAAGGAGAGACCTCATGTCCCGCTGCAGCTACGTAACAGAAATAATCAGCTGTAGATGTCAGGATGCTGTTTGGCTGCAAAACCACTGTAAGCCAAAAAACATTGCTGACAACAAAAACCTTTGGGTAGGAGGGCAGAAGGACTCTGTAGTTCACATATGCTGCCAGAATTCATGGCAATCCGTGAAATGAGAAGCTCCTTGAAAGGTCTGCCCCAAAAGATAAAAGGCTATTGGGGTATGGGTTAATCACATCAGCACACACCCCTGGATCTCAGGGGTCACCCAAAATCTCAGACCACCACAGGGTGTTCTTCACCAGGAAAGTCTATAATAACTTCCCAAGTTGGCTTATCCATAGACAAATGCCAGACTAGGGCAAAACTAATGGGAACCCATTTTCTTCCTGCCCTTGTTTTCACACAAGAGAAACCCGGGTCGGGTGGGAGATAAAATGCTTACTCTCAAGTCAATTTAGGCCATTGCTCCTCAGTTCCCTGCTTGTAAAATGGAGCTACCAAAAGGTTTGTATAGACTGGTTCTGGCAGCCAAATGAGTAGTGTTGATGAATGAACTATTAACATCCTCATTGGGAAACTGAGGCAGTATGGGCTGGATGAGGGGACAGTGAGGTGGATTGAGAACTGGCTGTGTGACAGGACCCAAAGGGTAATTATTAATGGAGCAGGTTCAAGTTGGAAGCCTGTAACCAGTGGAGTCCCCCAGGGGTCAATACTTGGACCCGTGCTGTTTAATATATTCATCAGTGACCTGGACGAGGGGACAGAGTGTATCCTCAGCAAGTTTGCTGATGATACCAAACTGGGAGGAGTGGCTGACACCCCGGAGGGCTGTGCTGCCATCCAGCGAGACTTGGACAGGCTGGAGGGCTGGGCAAAGAAGAACCTCATGAGGTTCAACAGGGAAAAGTGTAGGGTCCTGCACCTGGGGAAGAAAAATGTCAGGTACCAGTATAGGTTAGGGGTGGACCCGCTAGAGGCAACTACTGAAGAGAGAGATCTAGGGGTCCTGGTGGACAGTAAAATGACAATGAGTAAACAGTGTGCTCTTGCGGCCAGGAAGGCCAATGGTATCTTGGGTTGTATAGGGAAGAGTGTAGCCAGCAGGTCAAGGGAAGTCATTCTCCCCCTCTACTCTGCACTGGTGAGGCCACAACTGGAGTACTGTGTCCAGTTCTGGGCTCCCCAGTTCAAGAGGGACAGGGAACTACTGGAAAGAGTCCAGCGTAGGGCTACAAAGATGATTCAAGGATTGGAGCATCTCCCTTATGAGGAGAGACTGAGAGAGCTGGGACTCTTTAGTCTGGAGAAGAGAAGGCTGAGGGGAGACCTTATCAACGCCTACAAGTATCTCAAGGGAGGGTTGAAGGAGGAGGGAGCCAGACTCTTTTCAGTGGTTCCCACTGAGAGGACGAGGGGCAACGGGCACAAGTTGGAACATAAGAGGTTCCACTCAAATATGAGGAGAAACTTCTTCACGGTGAGGGTGACGGAACCCTGGAACAGGCTGCCCAGGGAGGTTGTGGAGTCCCCTTCTTTGGAGATTTTCAAAACCCGCCTGGATGCAGTCCTGAGCAACATGCTCTAGCTCTAGGCAATCCTGCTTCAGCAGGGGAGTTGGACTAGATGATCTCTATGGTCCCTTCCAACTCTAGAAATTCAGTGAAATTCAGTGAACTTCAGTGAAATTGCGGCTGCTCACCCTTGGGATTTTCCAGGCATTTGAGAAAACCTGGATCTGTCTATAAGGGAAATGCGACATGCTGTCTCTTAGTTTTATTGTTGTCTTTGGCAATGTGGAAATATCTTCAGCATGCTCCATTACCCAATACCAGAAGAAACACAGCCGTCTCATAGAGAATACGGTTTCAGCTTGTATCTTACAGTGTAATGAGCAAGACAGATTTGAAAAATATTATATTTAATGGCAGTTTAACTGTATATACAGCCTTTGAAAATCATCAACAGCTAAAGAGAAAACCAATATTGATACTCAAATGTCTCTAAAACCACAGAGCTTGTGACTGGAGCCAAGAAATAAAGCCAGTATTCTCACTCCATGAGGATTAAAACAAGAGTCATTTGGGAACTGGAGGTGTTGACCGGGCTGCACAAACTGCTGGAATGATAGGGTGTGCTGGAATAGTCACAGACACGCTAATGTCTCATAAAGTTGAGACATTTTCAACTGAGTTGAAAACTAGTTGGTGCTTTTTGCATAAACTTGTTTCTGAAATGCTGGAAACAAATTTGTCTTTTGTTTTAGAAGGAAAGCCAGATGCAGTAAATTAGGTAGGCTTGCTGGGTACAGATCTCAGAATAAAGGTTTTCCTTTTTGCCAACTTCATTCAGGTTTTCTTCTATGCTGATGATGACAAGTATCAGAGGTCTCAGGTGACTAGAAAAATGTGACTAACCTTCCACAAATGTCTCCTCCAACTACACTGTGGAAAATGAATGGAGGAAGCAGAAAGAGCAGTCACTATTTTAGTGCAGTATCCAATGTCATTTCTTCAAGACACTGTTCCGTGACAGTGAGGGAATGCTGGCCTTGATCGTTAAAAAGTGATCCAGAGCAATGCAGGCTAGTAAAACTGTGTCTTGAAGGCTCAAAAACCTGGAGACAAGGAAAAAACGCCAAACCACCATATATATTAATTTTGAAATCCTGTGATTTCCTAAACGAACCTGATTTACGACTTCTGGGCGCTGGTCTTGGCTGCACAGCAGGCTCAGACAAGCCATAGCAGTCAGAGGAGAAGAACAGAAGGATGGCAGAAAGTGGCTCAGTTCCCTTGCTGGAGTAGCAGTGGTTCTGGCTGGGCTGGTAACGCAAACATAAAGTGAACAAAGCACCAAGCCTCTGCTGGTAAACACTGTTGACTTGACATCAGTGGGAAGACATGAGAAGAGCTCAGTGAGCCCTTCTGGGTGAAGACAAAAGCTGGAGCTTTCCAGGCAGGAGTATTGAACGAAGGAAAGTCCAAGGGGTAACTCCCATGGGAATGCTGTCAGCATTATCATGCCAGATGCTGGTTGTGGTCTGGACAGTGGACATGGGTCTGTACAGTCTGGACACAAACACCCTTCAGCCAAATGCTGTCCAAGGGGAGATGCCCTGCGCCCCCAGAGAAACCCAGTAGCTGTCCATGCAGGGATTTGGTTCCATTGGTGTCCCAGTCAAACATCTCCATATGTACTCGTTCATGTAGCCACCAAAACATTGCCGTAACCCAGAACTGGCCATAGGTCTGGCCAATTTGGAAGCAGGCTCTCAGGGGCTAGAAGGGCGCAAGTGAAACATCAGCTCTTGGAAAGCCCATAAAAATTTCTACAGCTTGTCAGCAGCTTTCTGAGAGAAACACAAATTTCTGAGGCTCGGTATCTTCTGAACGATATAAAATAATTGTGAGATTGGAGAGCCAGGCCAAAACCGTAGCTGCACCGAGCTCTTTCCCAGACGGTTGGAAATGAGCGTACATGCCTGTTAGAGACTTTCAGCCCCTTCACATCCCCAACACCTACTTCCTCCCCCAGCTTGGCAGGAGAAGACAAGCAGGGCTGAACTCAGCTCAGGTACAGCCTGTCCCTTGAAGGTATCTGCAGGCTCTGCATGCCAGGGGAGGGCTGCAAACCCTGGCCTCCCAGTGTGCTTTCCCACCTGGCACCAAACTTACTCATTATTTTGAGCGACAGGGGCTATGCTGCCAAAAGGAGATAGTTCAATTACTGTTTCCCTCCCTCATGAAGTGGCTTATGAAGTGGCTGTAAAACTGCTCACTGCTGAACCTGAGCCATCCCAAGGAACTGAGTGAGTTAAATATTTAAGAGGGCTATTTATTTAGGCATCAGCCCCACAGGCTTCCTTCATAGCTGTTTGTACAACTCTTAAGCCACCAAGTATTTCCATAGCAAATAGTACGATTTATTAGGACTATCTTGTAATCCTATGCACAAACTCTCTCAATCATCTCCATGGATGGATGGTGCAAAATGGAATCGAATATCAGGGGAGCTGGTTCAAATCAAGGGGCATCAACATGAGGCCTCCTCAGACTGGAAGGCACTCGGACCAGGGTTTCTGGACTCCCCTATTCTTGAACATAACAGCTTGCATGAAATCTTCAGGGGTGGGAGAAGACAGGATTAGTTTATTGGGAAACAAGAAAGTCAGCATGCATGTACTTACTCAGAGTGCTAGCTTGATCATAGCATCTCTGGAAGTTTTTTCTCTCAGTAAAAAGTCAGTTTAAGCTGTTGCAAGATTGCAATTCCCTTGCGCTATCTGCCAGCACACAGTATATGGAACATGTTGGTAGCCATCAGCCTAGTGAACCCAGCAGCAAGGAAGTGGGTTTGATTAGTAGACAAACAAAGTGGCAGATGGGAATAGACAGCGTGAGATTTTCAGACCACCAAGAAAGCTGGTTGTCCAGATAAAAAAAATTCTGAAGCATGAACACAATGTAAGCAAGACTTTGGTTTACTTATTGAACTTCCTTCGGGGGGGCTGGTAAAAGAAATTGAAAGGAAAGCAATTTTCTATCTATCTCCTACATGGGGGGAGTGAGGCAGGGTGAATAAAGCATTGATGCTTGCAGAAATTCTTGAAACACCTTGAAAGAGCAGAGAGGAGCATTGGAATATTGTGTCTTGAAACAGAATTTAGAGATGTAATATCAG